AATCTAAAGACAATGGTGTCACCATCAGTTGAGTCCTGACATTACAATGACTCGAGCAGGTTCAGCAGCTATCAGATAAGCTCAGCTAGACACAAGCCCGTGGCTGGCAATGATCTGTGGATGGGGGGCCTGGGCCCCACTCACCTTGTCCTCACTCAAGGGTTCGGCATTGGACTCATCTAGAATGATCTCCATGATGCTAAGCACCTGCTCAGCCACAGCTGCACCTCCACTGTCCTTGCTTTCTTGCTCAGCTACCAGGGCCTGTAGGAGAAGAAGACCGAGTCTCAGAATAAAACCACAGCCACTTACTGCTGGTGCCCTTCATGGCCTTAATTCCCAGAGACTGCCTGTGTGTGTGTGGGGGGCACAGGGCCCCATTTCATGAGCAACTGTGAATCCCAGAGCCGAGGGTGCTGGGCCCAGGGCAGGAGAGCCTGGCCAAGTGAAACTCTGTCTCTACAAAAAAAATGGGGGGGGGGGGGGGGCTTTTAAGGATAGCTAAAAAGTGACATTCCAGGTGTCTTTCTTGGCTACCCTGAGGAGAAGGGCACTATTAACCTTTTCACTGTGAATAACACCTATACGAGTTCAATACAGGATGTCTGTTTGTTGTGAATGATGCCTGTAAGCATTGTTCATTTTGCAAACAAAAACATGACATCACACGTTACTGTTATGTTACCTGACTTGAGTCTATAAGCATCATATGCTTCAGTCTCAATAGTTATCACAGTTGTGCCTGGAAAAATGTGTACAAATAGTGGATTCTTGTGGGAGCATATACAAACAGAGTACAATAAATCTGAGGAGTCGTCAAGTTCAGAAGACTTGATCATTCTTTGAGAAGTTGGATACAGATGTAGCTTTAAAAATCTCACAAAAAACCAAACTGTCAAGCACCTCAGAATCTGATTTGGAAAATGAAAGTGCAGAACCTATTTTAAATTTCAAAGAAGTCAATCCTCGACAACTTCAATGGAGAGAAGACAATTTGAATCTAAAAATATATGATTTTGATGTTTAGAGTTGTACCACACAAAAAAGGATTATTAAATTTTTACAGCAAAGCTTTATCATTTCATATTAATTTTTTGTTTAAATATTACGTTATGGTGGCGCCTGTGGCTCAAGGAGTAGGGCGCTGGCCCCATATGCCAGAGGTGGCAGGTTCAAGCCCAGCCCCAGCCAAAAATTGCAAAAAAAAAAAAAAAAACCCAAACCAAAATAAATAAATATTACTTTATATAAATATAAAATATTCAAACTGAAACCAACTTGGGTGAATTATTTTGATTAGTAAGAAACCAAAGAATGTCCAATAGTGCCACGTATCCTCACGGTTGTTGCGATCGCTACCTGCCTCAACTGGCATGTTTCATTTCTGAGCTCTCTGCAAAGGTTAAGGAACTGCTTTCCTCTTTTTTCTGACCTGAACTCAGGAAAGGGACACAGGTGCTTTGGGGTCCCATGGCAATGGCACAGTGGGTGATGCAGAGGGAGAGAAGGGCCAGCTGAATGACTGAAGCTTCTATACCTTACTGAAGCCATTAGTCTATTTCATCTGAGCCCAGAACTGAGATGTCTTCCCCCCACCCAGGACTTCCAAGGCTCACACTTCATCATTTGCAACCCACACTTTACCAAGTTCAGAGTCCCCAGCATGACATTCAGAGTGTTCATTTCCAGCTTGACCAGCTGCTGCCGGTTGACTTTCACCTTCACGCAATAACTGAACAATTTCAGCAGTACCTGGCAAGAAAAGCCAGTTGAAACCCATGAGTCCACCCGCGAGTGTAAGATGTGGGGACCAGCAGGATAGAAATGCCTAAGGGAGATCATATACAATCAGCAGGTACTGTTCCTGAAATGCAGAGGACAGAGAAATGGATCCTTAAGGGGACATGGTAAAATGGCTGGGCTCTCACATAGGGCTTTGAGACAGGGCCTTATTCTATCACCCAGACTGGAGTTCAGTAGCATGATCATAGCTCACTGCAACCTTGCACCCCTGAGCTCAAGTGATCCTCCTACCTCAGCATCTCTGGTAGCTGGGACTATAAGGTTCCCACCACCACACATCAGCTATTCTTCTTTAATTTTTTTTGTAGAGATAGGTCTTACTATCTTGCCTGGGCTGATCTCAAACCCTTGGACTTAAGCGAGCCTCCTGCCTCTGATTTTAAAGTGCTAGGTTGGCATTTTATATAGCAATGGTCTTCAGAGGAAGCTTCTGTGGGCTGGAAATATCAATTCCTAATGAAACAGGTGATGCTCTATTGTTTTGGAGAAATCCCAGCATTAACTCAAACTCTGAACTAATAATAAACACAATGCTCCCAAAGCTCATGGGCCTGTGTAAACTGAGCTGAGAACCAGGTAGGGTACTGGAAATAAAGACACAATAATACTCATTCTCATAGACTCTGGGAGTGAATATAATAGTATAGTACTTGTGCTGTCTTTGGAATCCTCTAAGCCTTACTAGTGAGATTAGTTGGATAAATACCCAAACAAAACCCTACAATAGAAAAGTGAGCTATATTATACAATCCATTTAAAAAGCAATAATAAAGTAATAATGATTAACACAAATGTAGTTATTTGGGGAAAGACAATCAGACACTGGCTCCACAGATGACTAAGGAGTTATCGGGAAAGGCTGCTCCCACACTGGTTTTGGGGGCGGAGAGATGGGCCAAGAAGAGGGGAGTAGAGGTGCCTAAGATGTAGAGGGCTTAGGGGTACTGCCAGGACCTTTGCCGGTTTGCACTAGTCCATGGCACCCTGCTGCCCTCTAGGGTTAAAAGGTACAAGGGCTGTAGCCTTCTTTCCACAGGGGCCTCTCCCAGGGCAAAAAGGCTAATAATCCCCACACTGTCCTGCCTGCAACTCACTGTCAGAAGATGGCGTCCCTGCTTGAAATCTCTGATCCCTGCCAGTCTGTTGAGCATGCATTCCAGGCCCCCACACTGGGCCATCACACCAGCCATCTTATACACTTCTTCTTCATCTTCTTCTTCATCTAGGGAAGAAGGGGAGCCAAACAGAAATGAAAAGGAAGGTGAAGATGGGAATAAAACAGCCCAGAATAAGACTGACAACCCCCTTCCAGGCTGACAGCTCTTTTCCGATCTCTGGCACATAAAGACACAACCAAGAAAAGGAGTCAATACTGGATACTAAGCTGTACTCTCTCACTCCTGGTTGGGGGTTTTTTTTTTTTTTTTTTTTTTTAAAAAGACTCAAGTCAATTAGAATTATTTACCCAAATGTGAAACCATAAGCACTATTACTATCAATGGGGGTGGGAAGACTAAGTTAAAAATAAATATGAACTCAAGGTTATTATTAACTCCTCAATTAAAAAAGTCCTCTCCCCTCAATTCTGCAGAGGTACAGAGAGACTTTGCTGAGAACACCCTAAGTCCTGGGACATAACCTGCTCATTAGTCCCCACCCTCGAACCCAGCGTGCAGTGCTGTGATCTACCTGTGGTGGAGTCCAGGGACTCAATGAACTCCTCAGTGGCATCACCTAGCAGCCCCCGCATACGGTAAACGATCCTCATAGGCTCTCCCTGAGT